GAAAACATGGGTGTTATGGGCAGATGGGGAGATGGTGGAGGCAGTTCAGTTCTCGACTTTGTTACCTTGAGATTTCACTATTCTAATGCACCCTGGCTGATCTGTCACATTCTATTTTCTGTGAACTTGAGGCCATCTAAAACCTAGCTGTTTGTGCTTTAACTCGCAACAAGTCTGATCACCCCTGTTTGTTGATCTACATTGGTTCCCAGGAACATCCTTGCATTTTTGTGTTCAAATCCTCCCTGGTCTAGCCTTCCCCACATCTCTGGAATTTCCTCCAACTCCACAACACTGTAAAGTATCTCTGTTCCTTCTACTTCTAGTTTATTGTGCATCCTTAATTTTGATAGCTCCACCATTGCTGACCAGTCTGTCAGTTCTCTACATCCTAAACTGTGGATTCCCTCTCTATCCCTCTCTACTTCTCCCCTCAGTTTCCTCCTTTAAGACGTATTAAACCCTATCTCTTCACTGAAGCTTTTGGTCATGTAACCTAATATCTCCTTAAAAACCGAAAGAACTGTGTATGCTATTAATCAGGAACAAAAACAGTAGTTGCTAGAAAAAAAATCAGCAGGTCTGGCAGCATCTGTGAAGAAAAATCAGAGTTAATGTTTCGGGTCAGAACCAGACCCAAAACATTAACTCTGATTTTTCTTCAAAGGTGCTGCCAGACCTTTTGATCTAATATCTCCTTATTTGCTTTGGTGTTACACTGTGAATTTTAATGTTTTTATGAAGCGAATTGGGATCCTTTATTACATTATAGGAGTTACATAAAATACAAGATGTTGATGCACAGAGAAAATCTGGGTAAACAATTTGTCTTAGAGACAACAAGGTACAGGGCTGGATGAACACAGCAGGCCAAGCAGCATCATAGGAGCAGAGAGGCTGACGTTTCGGGCCTAGACCCTTCTGTTTCCATTTCCCTGTATTTGCTTAATGCACAATACTTTTTATGTGATTAGTTAGCTGCATAAAGGCAGCAGGAGTCCTGTGAATTTGCATGATTTGGTATTTTATTAGGACCCCAATGGTTTAGAGACTTGAGATAGGAATCCACCATGCATTTCCTGTCTTGTTGAAGGAAGTCAGCAGTGGGTGAGAAGGTGGACCTCCACATAAGGAAAAGCATTTCTGTTTGTGGTTTCAGGAGGAGCAGGAATCTTCCTCAAGCTCTCATAACAAAGCTCATGGTCTACCCTGCATTTTCCTCCTTTCCCTCTCATAAAGACTACCTAAAATCATTTCCCTGCCACTTTACTATGAGGTGGTGGGCAGCGAGGCCTACCCTGTTGGCAACTGCATTCTGCCCTCATCCCAAGTGGATGAGTGATAGTTTAATCCTGGATGTTATTAACTATCCCAGGCTGGAAATTTAAGCCAGCAGGTGCATTTTGCCAAGTGAGATAAGCTGACTCAGTTACCAAATGCCTTATTTTTGATCAGCGAGTGTCTAAATTTACTGAGTGTAAGACAAGTGTGATACAGATCCAAGCGAAGGCCAGGGTCAACAGCAGAAAGATTGTGTGAAAACCTGAGCATTCCACAACTCCGCCTGCTCAAACATCACCAACTCCACGTGTGGCAGGGTGTATTAACCCAGTATTGAACTGTTTAGTCACCTCAAGACCCATGATACTGGAGTGGAAGTAAGTCATCATCAAGGAACTGCTGAAGAAGGGAAGATACATAAATGGAGTGAATTCCATGCTCATTATTGATCAGTTTAACATGAATCATTTTCTTAATTTAGGAATGCATTTTTTAGCATAACAATTTGAGTGCCCACAGTAGTAGGACTTGAAAACAATCTGTTTAATTATTTTGTTCAGCTACAAATTGTTGTGATGATGGTTAATGGTTTCCAGCTGTAAGCAGCTGCAAACATTCCACTAGCAATTATTCTTCAAGTGGAATGAGTGCAGGGATGCTTGGTTCAAATGTTTTATCTGCTTTCCAAAGCATGTGGATTTCCTGTCAAATATCGTTAGCTATGTTGCATATGAGAATTGGAATTTAAAGGTGGTTTTCTTTTAACTATTTTAAGGGTCATGGTTTCAGACAATTGTGTAGCATTGCATGTATTTTCTTTCCATCCTCCAAGTTTAGTGATTTACAACTAAGGATGATTATTACAAAATCTGTACTGAGGTTTTGCACCACATCAACTGTTTTCACTCACTCCAGTAATTAGACAGATGCATTCTTTTTAAATTCAATCTGTATAGGCTTTAACTACTCACACAAAGAGGAGTATTCAATTCATGTGGGCAAAACTTGACTGGTTCTATTTAAAATTTAAACCTACTGAGAGTAAAAGCATCTTCCATGTATGTTGCTGTATCCTTAGGAACCAGCGTCAAATAACTTGCATTTGTGAAAAGAAGTGTTGCTCCTTCAACAGTGAAAGGGAGTTGAAATAATCGAAACCGATAATAAGGTGCAGGGTTCTGAAAGCATCTCCATAGCGATTTCTCTTTTATCCAGTTGGCTTAATGGGAAAGCAGTGAATTAACCCTACATCTTTAGATTGCTTTAAAAAGACACCTTTTGGTGAAAGATTAGTTTTTGTGGTTTGATTGACATTCAGGCTGGAAAGGAAGTGATCGACAAACACTATTCAGAGTAATAGGCTGTGGCTCTCGGTATTCCCACTTTACATCGCTGTAACTGGTCTGTATCAAAACTTAAAAAGAAAGTGCATGTTTGGAGTTTCCTTTCTTTCGATACTCCATTGTCTTTCTACAACATTTGTCTCTACTCAATAGTTTTGAGGTCACATCTGAAAAGCAAATTGAGATGCATTTCAAAGAAGCATGACTTGACTCTTAAACAGTCAGGTACTATAGATAGTGCAGCAATTCAAAAAGAAATAACCCCTGACACAATCCTATTGAAAATGGCTACTGGAGTGATTTCTTTAACTCAGTGAACCGCTAAAACAGCTCTGAAGCAATGCCCTCTTTAAAACAGCATGTGTTTAAATTAGGCATGGTGCAGCTAGAGTACTAGCATGTCTTTCAGTCATCATTTAGCATCAGTAAATCACAAACCTCATAAATCATTATGATCATTTGAATTGTTTTAAGTGCTTGTGCTGCATGGTGACTCTGCTTGTAGCTGTCCGAACCCAATTCCAGCATCATCTCCGTTTTCTCCTCTCATGTTGAGAAGTGGTCCAGCATTATATTTTTGGAAATAAAAACACTTTATTCATAAAATCTGTAAACAAACACATTTAAAAATCATTTGACTTGAATATTACAGAACTTGCAGAAAAATTTAACTTGTCCTAAATTAGTGTAGAGCTGGAGGAACACAGCAGGCCAGGCAGCATTAGAGGAGCAGGAAAGTCGACATTTTGGGTCAGGACCCTTTATTAGAACTGGGGTAACGGAACTGGGAAATAAATAGAGGGAGGAGGGGTGGGGCTGAGGAAAATAGGTGGGATGGTGATAGGTGGTAGCAGGTAGGGGGTAGTGGGGATTGGTCAGTGGGAAGGGTGAGGCAGATGGGTGAGGAGGAGTCCTTCCCACCCATCCCACTCACCAATCCCCACTACCCCCTACCTGCAACCACCTATCACCATCCCACCTATGTTTCCTCAGCCCCACCCCACTCCCTCTATTTATTTCCCAGCTCCCATTCCCCTCCCCAGTTCTGATGAAGGGTCCCGACCCGAAACGTCGATTTTCCTGCTCCTCTAATGCTGCCTGGCCTGCTGTGTTCCTCTAGCACCATACTGTGTTGTCTCTGACTCCAGCATCTGCAGTTCTTGCTATCTATGACTGTCCTAAAATAGCATGTTTCGCTACAGCAATAGTCTTAGTATTTACCAAGTACATTTCATGTCAGCTTGTTAAATCCGAGAACAAAATATTTCAAATTAGAAACTACAGACAGTGCAATAGACATTCTATGTCCTCTGTACACTGTCTTCCACACTGAGGTGCCTCAATACATTTTCAATACTTTTGTTTTATAATGTACACTCTTTGTACGGTACACAGCCCAAGAGGTGTAGTATGGTTGAAAAGTCTTAGACAGAAACTTTTCCTCAATGCACCTCTGCAGTGACCACCCCAAGCTTTAGTTTTGATTAGGGATCCAGCACTGATCCATATTCCCCATCTATAATTGCTGTTACTTAGATCTAGCCCCTGCTCCAATGGCATCTTCCAGGGCATGGGACTGACTTCAATATAGTGATGCTACCAACTGTGATTTTCTATGGCCAACATTGAAGACAAGGTAGTTGCTGTCCAATCCAGTTGTAGCAGGCAGGCAGAGCAAACATTCTACCTACATCTACCCTTTCATGTGGTGTCAGAATTTTTGTAGGTTTCAATGAGATCGCTACTCATTCTTAGAACTTCAAAGAATACAGGAACAAAAGCAGAAATTGCTGGAAAAGCTCAGCAGGTCTGGCAACATCTGTGGAGAGAAATCAGAGTTAATGTTTTGAGTCGAGTAACCCTTCCTCACCCGAAACGTTAACTCTGATTTCTCTCCACAGATGCTGCCAGACCTGCTGAGCTTTTCCAGAAATCTGTATTTCAGTTTCTGATTTACAGTATGCATAGTTCTTTCAATTGTTTTTTCAAAGAATACAGGTCCATTTTCTCAGTCACTCTTCAAAGTCAATCCTGCTGTCAAGGGGATTAATCTAGTGGGCTTCCATTGTACTACATAACTTGGATAAGGAGTATATGACACTCCAGGTTTGAACTTCATACAATTGCAGTAACACATCTTTACTTCTGTACTCCAATTCCTTTCCAATGAAAGCCAACACACCATTTACCTTCCTAATTGCTTGCAGCACCTGCATGCTGACTGTTAGTGACTCATTAACAAGGACCCACAGGTTCCTTTGGACTCAACATTTCCCAACTCTCACCATTTTTGAAATATTGGCTCGGATATTCTGATTAAAGAGAGGAACCCTATTTCTGAAGCTGATCTGATTAAAATTATCCACTTACCTTTAGATATCTCTTGTACTGGAAGTTCCTGTGTCAAGCGCCTCCTGTTATGAACCTGTCCAGGAATCCAGCAGTGTGGCAGATCTTTGCAGAAACCACGCCATCTTTTGCAGCAACAAGTGAGCTCTATTTTGATTTAAATGTGCAGCAGCATAGTCAATTAGTCTGGTAGCACCTGACAAAGGATGAAGTATGTGTAGCGATAGGTTGACATGTGAGGGAGGAGTTAGGATGCCAGGTGGGTGAGATCAGTAGCATGCAATGTCAGGTAGGTAGGATGCCAGATTGCAAGGGTTAAGCCAGGGGTGGATCATGGTTGTGGGGGTGGGGAGAGGTACTGTCAGATTGGGGTTGGGAGTTTCTGGTCTGGCTTGGGGTGGCATTAGACTGGCAATGTAGAATAGAGTTGATGCCCAGTCCAGAGTGGTCAGACCATTGGTGGTGGTAGGGTTACATCAAACTGAGGGTGAGAGAGTTGGTCATAAGGCCTGGGTGTCAGATCAGTGAAGGGGTTGTGTCAGGTCTGGGGTGGAGTCATGCCAATGGGAAGGAGTTCCGGTTCTGGTCAGCTGCTGGTTTGCTTGGGTTGGTCGGGGGAGAGGTTAGCATGGAGTGATGGGAAGGATGTGTCAAGTTGAGTTTGGATGGAGTGGTAAGTGGAATTGGGTCATGTCATTGGGGTTGGTTATTAGAGATCTGGGAGCGTTAGGAGTTAGAGAAAGTGTAGGTGAGGGGCTTAGTGATGAAGCGGGGAGTAGTTTCATAGCTATCCAGGAGTTAGACTAGATTTTTAATCCTCTAACCTTCCTGGGTAACTTTGGGATTTAACTGAGTCAGAACCCTCTGAAGTTTCTGACTTCAGGGACTTTTTTGGAGGGGTCCACATGCAAGGGAATTTCCTGTCAGAACTTTGAATTTCCGTGAAATTCCTATAACATCTGCATCAGGGATTCCACATATCTGAATTCATGATTCTAGGCTGCGCTTCTCCAAAGACTGTCTGTTCACTAGATTATGTGGCCCATTCTATCTTTTCTTTTCATTTATCAAAGTGATCCCAAAACACACTTGCATCGTATTCCCTGTACCATATTCTTGACCATTCAAATCCCCTTGAAGCCTCCTATCAGCCTCCTAAACTTACATTCCCATATAGTTTCGGGTCATCAACAAATTCATAAAAGTTAATAAATCTAGTCCTGAGGAAGGGTCACTGTACCTAAAATGTTAACTCTGATTTTTCCTTCACAGATGCTGCCAGATCTGCTGAGCTTTTCCAGCAACTTTGTTCTTGTTCATAAATATTACACTTGATGTCCAGATCTAAATCATTGACATAGAGTGGTCTTGGTGCTGACCCTTATGGTATCCCATTGACCTGCTGTCCTGAGATTGAATAAATATTCTAACTCCCTGCTTTCTGATTGTAAACAAATTCTGAACCCATTTTCGTACATTATCCCATCCACTGTTCTCTAATTCTTTTTACTAACCTACTGTCTGGGACCTTATTAATAACTCTACAGGTTTGTCACACTTGAGTGCCCTTTCATAAATCGGAGGTAACTGCTGATTTACGGTTTTTTCTAAAGTTAAAGTTGTCATATCCTTTATAATAAATTCTAACATTTTCCCAACTGCTGACATCAGACCAACAGGCCTGTAGTTCCCAATTCTCCCTCTGCCTCCCTTCTAAAATAGGTTTAGATTTAGATTTTATTGTCATGTGTACTCAAGTACAGGACCACGGAAGTATTGTGAAACATGTCTAATGGCGCCACACATGGTATGATCTTAGGTAGAAAGTTACCTCGGTACAAAAAACTGAGGTACAAAGTAGTAAAAGAAACAAAGTTTAAAAAAAAGTTAAGCATTACCTTTGTAGAATGAGTAGAAAAATAAAGAAATAAAGTAATTGTTAATATTAAAATCCTTCTTAATATAAACCAGAAAAATAAAGGAATAAAGTTAAAAGTTAAACAGTCTTTGAGTCCTTTGCTTTGCTTGCTCTCTGGGAGACCTCAGATGCCTGTTCTCAGCGCCACTGCCACAGATATCAGGGGAGCTCCGTAACCCTAACTCTTCCCATGTCGGGCTACGATGCCATTGCTCCAGCTGAAGGTGCCACCTCCCTGTTCTCCTGTTGGTGCCTCTGGAACATGCCTGGGCAGGACTCACGTGCACACTGTGATTTCACCAGACCGGGCCGAGAGACCGGGCCAAGACACTGCTACGCCGGGTCAAGAGACCGGGCCAAGACACCGCTACTACGATAATACTGCCACGCTGGGCCGAGAGACTGGGCTAAGATACAGCCACACCGGGCCGAGAGACAGAGCCAAGATACTGCCATGCCGGGCCGAGAGACCGGGCCAAGATACTGCCACGCCAGGCTGAGAGACCAGGCTAAGATACTGCCATGCCGGGTCGAGAGACCAGGCTAAGATACTGCCACGCCGGGCCGAGAGACCAGTCCAAAACACTGCCATGCTGGGCCAGGGGAATGTCCATGGGCCGCCGAGACACGGCCATGTGCCAACGAGAGACCAGGCCGAGATATCGCCATGGGCTGGGCCAGGCCATGAGGTTGCCTCACTGGGTCCACAGGAGGCACGGAGTGTAGACGAGAAGAAAAGAAACACAACGAGAGAAAAGAAAGAAAGAAACGGACAGAGCAGACGAGCTCTGGCTGAAATATCCTCTTCTGCTGCCATGTTGGAATAGTGGGTTACACTTATATTTCCAGTCTGCAGGCATTTTTCCAGAACGGACAGAACTTTCAAAGATAACCACCCATGCATCCACTATTTCTCTAGCCATCTCATTCACCACTCTGAAGGTAGTCTGTCTGAAGCTATGCAAGTGCTATCTGCTCATTAATACTGATCTTTCTCAGTGCCTTAGCTTCTTAGTTGCTTAGTATTTCTTGGAGGTTTTCTGTATTTTCCTCCATGAAGACTGATATGGATCAGTCTCTATGGGTTGTTTGTGAAGAGTAGAGAGGGCGATGTTGATAGTCCAGTAGTCACTTTTGAGATTGATGGCTTTGCAAGATGATCAGACTACTAGCATTTTGGACAGGACCTTGAATTAGGTAGTGCTGGTCCTCATCACAAATAGGTGAGAAATTCAACATCTCATGCAATTTGGGATCCTATGAAGTCATTAAGTTCCACTGTAATTTTGAAGTACCAATGGCCATTACTTGTGGTGCTCACTATCCTCCATTTGGTAATTGTGGTAGAGTAGTCAAGGCTCATATTCTTAAAGGTTGAAGATCTTGCAAAAAATCTTTATAAAATAATGAATCTTCCTTTTCATCTTAAGGAAAAGATCAGCCATGCTTCCTCTATTGGGTGGCCCTGTGTGGCTTGTTTCGGATTTCTCCCCATCTTTAACTCAACTGCATTACATTTCTCACTCCACCTGATCAGTGACCTGTTGAGAGTGCACAAGCAGCTCATTGTAAGAAATCAATCTAGGCCATTAAAATTGTTTACATTCAGTAAGGGACAGACCAACAATGTTAACATCAATAACATACATGTATTTAGCACCTTTAACACAGTGAAAGACTTTTGGTTCTAAGTTGTGGATGCTGAAGATCTGAAATAAAAACAGAAATTTCTGGAGAAACTCAGCAGGTCTGGCAGCACCTGAGGGGAGAAAACAGAGTTTGTGTTTCAAATCCAGTGACCCATCTTCAGAAGAAAGGTTCTGAAGAAGGGTCAGTGGACTTAATTGTTAACTGTTTTCTCTCCACAGATGCTGCCAGACTTGCTGACTTTCTCCAACAATTTCTACCCTTCCCAGGAGAGCTGGCAAAGGTAGCTGGACATTGAGTTACATTAGGCGATGCTATGGGAGAAGAGTGCTAGATTCCCAATGTTTTAAGGATTGACTTGAAGGAGGAAAGAAACATGGTTTGACAGATATTTAGAAATCACCACCAAAGTCTCCTTTGCCCCTTTCTTAAAAGACAAAATAAAGATACACCAGGTGTGCATTGTAATTGAGAGTGACTTTTGATTCACTTGCAGACATCTACATACATGGACTGTACTTAAAAAGGTCTCTCAACACAAAACTTCATTTGAACAAGAATATTGAAATTTGTCCTGTAATGTTTGAGAATAAGGAAAGACTTTATATTTCACATTTATATTTCACATGTTACAGTTCTTAGGATGTCTGGAAGTGCTTTACAGCCAACAAAGTATCTTTGAATTGTAGTCAGGATCCCACAGATCTCAATGCGATAATAACCTGTTTAATTAATGCTTGTTGGTGTGTAAATATTGATCTTGGAGAGCCCCAATGCATCTTTGAAAAGAAATGATCTGAATCTAAAGAAACTATGTCATCTGATATAGGAGAAAATTACTGCATTTGCTGGAATCTGTACTAAAAACAACAAATGCTGGAGATCACAGCGGGTCAGATAGCACACATAGAGAGAGAGCAAGCTCATGTTTCGAGTCTAGATGACTCTTCATCAGAGCTGAAGTAAAGTGTAGGGGGGACAACATTTATGCTACAGAGATAGTAGGAACTGCCGATGCTGGAGAATCTGAGGTAACAAGGTGTAGAGCTGGATGAACACAGCAGGCCAAGCAGCATCAGAGGAGCAGGAAAGCTGACGTTTCAGGTCTAGACCCTTCTTCAGAAATGGGGGAGGGGAAGGGGATTCTGAAATAAATGGGGAGAAAGGGGGAGGCAGATAGAAGATGGATAAAGGAGAAGATAGGTGGAGAGGGGACAGACAGGTTAAGGAGGCGGGGTTGGAGCCAGTAAAGGTGAATGTAGGTGGGGAGATAGGGAGGGGATAGGTCGGTTCAGGGAGGACGGACAGGTCAAGGAGGCGGGATGAGGCTGGTAGGTAGGAGATGGGTGTGGGGCTTGAGGTGGGAGGAGTGGATAAGTGGGAGGACAGGTTAGGGAGGCGGGTACAAGCTGGGCTAGTTTTGGGATGCGGTCGGGGGAGGGGAGATTTTGAAGCTTGTGAAGTCCACATTGATACCATTGGGCTGCGGGTTTCCCAAGCGAAATATGAAATGCTGTTCCTTCAACCTTCAGGTGGCATCGTTGTGGCACTGCAGGAGGCCCAGGATGGACATGT